GCCTAAAAAAGAGAGGCCAGCTATCCTTTCCAATTCAAGAAAGCAATACGTATATGTATGCACATATTAATATAATGTATCTCTAATTTCAGAAAGCAACAGGAATGCATGTGTCTATGATATTTATATAGTATCTCTTTTTGTCCTTTTTCCCATAAACCTCTTTTAGAGCATCAGTTCCAGTTAATTAATAAAGCAAAATTTTGCATTAAACTGGTATATCTAAAGCAATATTAGAGCTTTAGCTTTAGACACTTTGAGCAGACCAGAAGAACCGAGGGGACCCGGGCAATGCCAACAATTAAACTATTCTAAAACACTTGACTATTTACCCTCTGGGTTGGTGCTAGAGGATTGCTGGTACTATAAACACTACAAAGGTCTGCAGTGATTATGGTTCTTAGGGTGCCAATTTAAACCTGACCATTTTAATTCTCCTATTTTTCCACTCTCTGTATTCTGACCTATATCTCTTTGATGAATCATTTACCTTTCCTGACATATTGTATAACTTGGTCTCATACCCAAGTGCGTCCCCAGTATACTCTACCTGATGCCAATCAATAAGTCTCTGTTCATGAAAGCATATAAGCATGAACTCCTTTGGCTGATCAATCCCATGGGCCTACACCTGTCACGTCATCTCTAGTATCAAGTGAAACAGGATATCTGCTGTTCAAGAATGAACGAGAACGGTTCCATCATTTTCACAGCTGTTTGACGCTTACTATTTGAATGCCTGAAACCAGGGAGTTTATTGACTAAATAGTGAAATATGGTAGGCTAACATTTAGTAACTAACTTTCAAAATAACGGAATTGGAAGTGTAAGTTTGGCCTGTATTTTGCAACTCAATTACCCGTCACCACATGTAAAAACAAGATGAATTAACAATGTTTCTGCTTCTATTTTACTTATCTTTTGTATTTTAAAATAGATTATACTAAAGGTTTCTCACTGTTTGTGTAAGCAGCTCATTGGTTGTTCTGATAGATATTATATATTTCTCCTTTAGTTGTTTTATTTCCCTAGTTTATTTGTTCTCTTTATTTTATTGTTTTGTTTTGCTTTTTGGTTGATCACATAGCCAAAGAAACATATGGAAGAGGATTATGAAGGTTGCTAACAGAAAAGCTGGACAAAGTTCTAAAAGTGGAGCAATCGCCATGGCAACTAGTGTAATCAGCCAAAACACTCTGATGGTTTTTATGGTTGTTCCTCCAGGCTCAGAATTTTGACACATTCTTATTTTATATTAGCTATACCATTGTCTCTAAAATAAAGTAGGAGACATAAGCAAACACAATAGCGCCGTGGCTATTAAAGGGATACTATAGAGCTAGGAATACAAATCTGTATTGCTAGCACCATACTTCCCTCTGGCCCCCACCCTCCCACGCCCCCTCCCTCCCCCTCCTCGGCCGGTGTCAGCTACGGTCTCCCTAGGCTCCACCTCTTCTGACGTCACCCGATGGGGAGGGACGCTAAAGCGAATGCGCGGCAAGCACCGAGACCGCATTAGGCCCTCCCCATAGGAAAGCATTGATTTGCTGCTTTCATTTGGAGTCTTTACTGACGCTGGATGACCTCAAGCAAAGCATGAGGACGTCCAGCATCAGTTAGGCAACCAAAACTGCAATAATCAACATTGCAGGATTAAGGGGCAGGGACATTGCACCCAGATCAATTTAATGAGCTGTACTGCTCTGGGTGCATATAGTGTCCCTTTAAGCAATAGTCTTCTGAATTAGAATGGATATCCTATCTACATGTCATACAAAACCATACAGGAGGTATCTCAAACTCTGCCCCGGCCACCAGATTTAGCTAAACTACAGCTCCCATGATTCTCGGCTATCTATTGCTTTAAAAAAATCATTAAGTTGTATGATATTAACATCTGAGTGGCCAAAGTTTGATATCACTGTCATACAGCTTTTGTTTATATTATGTCATATATCTTGTGAATTCTTTTGCTATACCCCGCTTTAACGCAATGTTTTCTTCTTAAGGAGCAAAGGTGACTTGATAGAAACAGGGAATAACCAGAGATCACAAGGCTGAGGGAGCTATTTTATATGGAAAGCGATAAGCTATACCAACAGGACATTTAATTCCCTCTCTCCAACTGAAGGGTAAAAATAACATCAAGAACTGGTTGTTTGAATTAAAGAGCTCACAAAATAGCCCTCCAGCCTGGGAGGTTCAAAAACGCGTGTGTTGGATAGCTTCCCCATTCAAGAAACAAAATCAATACTCAATTGCTTTTAGATAGCATTCGGACAAACCAGAAGGACCCGGTAACATCATACCCATCAAATGTCTTGGCTTCGAGACATCATTAGATACGGTTGTGTTGCATGAAATGAACACAAGGCTCCACAGCACACACATACCAGGATGTTATTTCCACTTTTCTGCAGGGTCTTCCCCCCCCCATTCCCCAACCTTCCTCCTCACAAGCTTTTGATACCTCCCAACATTAGTAAATATTTAACATTTATTTGCCATTAAAAATCTATTTTTCTGTATTAACTGCTATGTTTTCTTATACATCTCATTTTTATGTATTGTAATAGGATACTCAAGACTGGAGATGACCCTGACATTTTTACGGCATTATGCAGATATGTTATAAATTGGTAAAAATAAATAAATAAACAGGAAAATCTTCCCATAGCAGCTTCATCACATAATTTCTTCTTTTCTGCCACTCGTGTTTGTAGTCACAAAACTGTGGTTCAATAATCCCACTCAATCCGTGATCTCCCATATAAATGTATGGAAATATTGTTAAAGGGTTTCTGTAACAAATGTGTATATGTTAAGGGTGATTAGAATTCTTTTTTAAGTTTAATATATCTTCTTGTTTTAACGGCTCGCCACAATATAACTCTATATCACCCAAAAATATTAACACGCAATCTAACGTTCTTTATAATAAAATATACAGTACATTTATTCTACTAACAATGCAAACAGCAATACATATGTAAAAGCTTAACAGATGGTACAGCTTAACTATGTTGCAGAGAGAGAGAGATCTTTGCCTTTGTCCAGAAAGTCAGGGGATCAAGAGAATAGTAGTAGGACATGGTCCTTTGTCTACTGTTTTTTTTAAAGACATGACATGGACTATAATGATTTCAGAACTTTTAACAACCCTGACCATATAAGGACACATATGAAGGTCCTCGACCCTCAAGCCTCTCATTATGCACCCATATCCAGAGACTCATGGTACAGCATAGCAAATGACCATCTGTTCATTTTAACCCATTAGACATTAATACTCAATATGAATAGGAACATAGAATATGTAGTATTATACAGTTTCTCCAGTGATTTGAAGTGGTCATGGTGGCATGAGTCTAGATGTGCAGTATTTCTGCTTGAAACACTGCACATCCAGAAATATTTTACCTTTAGTGCTGGGGGTTAGTTACACCCTGACACATGTGACTTTGGCAGGCCGGAACTCTGCTAAGGCCTGTCAAATGTAAATTCCGTGCATATTTTCTGTCTGTTGTCAGTGTGAACAGCGTGCTAACGACAGATGTAAGGATATTCTCCCCTGCCTACAAGGGGAAGCTTTGCGCAGCCCTCACTTCCTGTGTGCGATCCCTCCACTTCCTTCCATTACAGAATTTTTTTTTTAAACCCTCCCTCTCTCTGTGCCTCCCCTTGCCAGCTCAGAGTGGGTGCATGCACTCTGAGTTACCGAAACGGTCCAATCTAAGGCTTCTCTGTAAGGACAATAGGGCATTATGAGGTAAAAACATCTCATTAATTGTAAGGGTTGGAAGCATTTAAGCATGCTTGCACATCACAATAAAAGGCTTCCTGGAGAAAGCATTTTGTCACGTGCAGTAATTCTGCCCTCTTTTGCACTGATTTCAGTATGTGTACTCATATTAATACTGAGTATGCTAATAGCATAGTATATGCAACAACCTACAGCCAACAATTGTTTATTTGAAACTGTGCCTGAAGTACGAGCTACATTCTGCTGATAAAACCTTTTAGAATGTATTTATTTATTTAAAAAAATAAAAATAAAACCGGGAATATCCCAACATGCAGATTAGTAGGAAAGCCTAGCATACATTAAAGGGTGAGTTCTGGTTAGTATAGTCAGTCCCTGCAGGCTTTTTGCCGTAAACACCGCCTTTTCAGAGAAAAGGCAGTCTTTACATTACAGTCTAGGGACACCTCCAGTGGCCACTCCACAGATGGCTACTAGAGGTGCTTTCTGGGGCAGTGCTGCACAGTGTGCAGCACTGACATTCAGTGTCTCCACCCTCTGCATGGAGATGCTGAACTTTCCTCATACAGATGCATTGATTCATTGCATCTTTATGAGGAGATGCTAATTGTCCCGATGGCATTTGCCTCTGCCCTGTCCCGCCTCCTTGACTGAGATCATCAGAATTGACGATCTCAGCCATTCCAATGCTTTCCTATGGGAAAGCATTGTGATTGGTTGAGATCATAAATTCTGATGATGTCAGCCAAGGAGGTGGATCGGGTGTGGAGCCAGCACCAGTGGACCAGTGTGGCGCTGGAAATAGGTAAGTTTTTACTATATTTAAGGGTGGTATATATTTAAGGAGGGGCTCATGTGATTTTAACACTATAAGGTCAGGAATATATGTTTGTGTCCTGACCCTGTAGTGTTCCTTTAAGTTCTGATATGCTTTGAAGTTGTTATAGTAAATAGAGTGTCACTTTAAAGATTACACACTCACACTTGTTTGAATTTTGCAGGTGTAATATTATAATTTTTGGAAAGGAACATTCTATCATGGGTCATGTGTGCCAATATGGAGCAAACATTAACAGAAAAATAACAAACATATTGGCAATTATTTATTCTGTGTAGAATTTTAGATCACATCCATTATATGGCTGGAGAAATATCAGTACATTTATACAAATAAAGACTTATGTTCTATCTTACCAATTATCTTTGAAAAGACAAGACGCAGATCAATGTTATTGTTTATTTGAATTTTAAATTTACAACAGTGCTCAGATACAGTCCTGATACAGCATTCTTGTATCCTTCACGGGGTTTAAAAGAATACAGTCATCAAGTACAAGTCTAAAATCTGAACACAATCGATTTTTAGGGTAAAGAATTTTAGTAAGTGTTAGGGTAGTCATTTTATGTGTGAACAGAAAAAAAAAATCATATGGAAACAGAAAGTCTGATAGGGACTTCCAAAAACATTAAAAGGGGTTTGTCCAATACAAAATACCCTAAAGTGAACAAATAAATATCAACAAGGGGCAAGATATTGATAGGACAGGCAGATAATGAAAAGGAGAAAAGTTCCCTTGTTCGTGAGCTTAGACACTAATGCCTTGTTTCCACTGAGTGGAACGGTTCGGGTCGGTACAGTTTGGAAGGTTTAGAATGGTCCAGCCTATTCAGGTGAGCGTTTCCACTGCAAGTCAGACCTTCCGGGGCCATGCGGGGTTTAGAAAAAATGCCTAGCGTTTCATTTGTTGTGAGCATTGACATTTTCCTGTCTGCCAATCAATGGATTGTATAGTGTGACGCTAGTAGCTCCGCCCTAACCATACCATACCATTTCCTATGGCCCTACATCTGAAGGAGGACCATGAATGGTGCGGTACGGTTCGATTGTATGGGCCACTTTCATAATGGAAACACTCAAAACAGCGCACCGTACCGGACCCACCCGAACTGATCCGCTCAGTGGAAACGAGGCATTAGATATTAGGACCCTTGAACATCTCTATAGGATTTTGTACATGGGCATGGGACGTAAGACAATTGTTAACATATATGCAATTACTAATAAGTTGCTCTTTGTTGCTGTATCTGTGGTTGAGGGTATGCTAGATTTTTGTAAATACATTGCATTGCTCATTTCAACGATGATATACTAATATAGACAGGTTGATAATAAATATATGATTATATGGTAGAACTGCCTTATAAAAAAAGATCTGATTAACTAAATCGTTTTCAACCATGAGCTTCCAGTTATGGTTAGTGATGAACTACCAATTGTGGTTAGTGTATTTTATCTAGATGAATACAGTTTAAAATCAGAAGCAACAAACATTGTCCTATTAAGAACTCATAAGCTTTGATGCAATTCAAAAATCTATATATTTTTCTTTCAACCCTGTTCTATCACAGTCGATTTTAATGCAGACTTAACTATGTCAAATGACACCCGTTGAGATTAAGGTAGCATGCATTTTTGAAATGGCCATAGTATATCTCATAGTTAAAATATTGTTGGACAAACTTGCATAATGAAAAATTAAACATGTTGCAAACTTTTGCCATTAAATTAAACTATGTTTAATTTACATTCTAGATCTACTATTTGGCAAGTTTAAGGAGTCTTTGGATATCTGGTTCAATGTTGATAGTATGAAAATTTTTGCTGTAGCGCTTGAATGGTTCCCCTTCAGGACCTATAAGAAACTTCTCAAAGTTCCAGGAAATATCAGATCGATGAACTGGGCTCCATACAATCAACCGGGCGTCAGTAATAAGGCTTCCGGGATCATCATCAGGACTAGGTAACTTGTCCTTCAGGTAGGCAAAGACAGGGTGTATGCCTTTTCCATTCACTTCACATTTCTGGAACAAGGTAAAACCAGGTTCGAAGCCATTACCTGGCCGAACATATTTTAGGGAATTTAAAATTTCTTCATTCTTGCAATTCTCCTATGTATAGAAAATAAAGAAAATGAAATAGAAATAACAATCTATAAATATGGTTACAATTCAGAATAGCTGTTCAAGGTTACAAATACAGAGTTGTTCAATAAAGTGGGAATTAGATTCAAAGAGAATTAAAAAATTTAGACCACACTGAAAATTGTCAACAATTCACACTTTAGTGAATAATTCTGAATGGTGCACCAGTTATTGCTATACTATTCTTCCCACCAAGAGATCTATTTCTAAGTAACGTGGTTTTCATCATCTGGGTTACCTCTTTCACATGTATTTTTCCCTTTTACAGTTCAGATATTGATGTTTGTCTTGCCGACAAAACAAAGAAGGCACCTATTGACATGTGTACGCGTTTAGCAGCATTAGTGAACCTTATATGTTATGGATAAAGCATAGGGGTTACTACTTCAGGTACCAAAACTCAGCCGAGCCAAACAGAGTTATGACCAATCTCCGACCATCCCGAAAAAAATTATATTTTTAGGGAAAATGGTTTGTCTAAATGCTTTCACAATAATCAATTTATTAAGGACAGTTACCTGGAGCCTATTAAAAGTGATACACCTGTTACAACCATTTTTGACGCACCCAAAAAAGACATGGGGAACAAATTTTGGATACCGACCCAACAGTTAAGAACCACTGACCTAAACCATTAAAGGTGTTATAATTTTCAATATTATTTGTTCAAACAAGTGTATTTTTTCCTCTCCCTATGAAAATCTGAAATCTGAAATGTGATGTGAAAAGGGTATCAGATGTTGGTGGTTAGCTTTCGGATCAAAAATTCTAAATGCAAATACAGTAAAAAAAAATTTTACACATTTTTGCCAGTTTCCATAACAACTGTCTGAACCAATTGGTTTACTATGTTTTAAAGGCAAAGTATAACAGTGAGGGGTTTATTAGCTAAACAGTGAATTACGATGAATTACAAATTCTCCAGTCCAGCTATTTATTTTTAAGTTGTGCTCAAACACAAAACCTTTTGCAATGCCCTTCAATATCTCATCACCTCAGTAAATAAAACCTCCAAGTATACTTGCCAGTGATGGCGAAGAATACTTGCGTTGTAAAGAACACATTTTATTGTTAATTAAATGGAATCACTTACTTGGTAGCCAAACTGATTGCAAGGGAATCCCAGTACCACAAGTCGTCGTGGGTACTTGGTTTGCAGCTCATTAAGTTGGGTGTAATCCCTAACAGTAGTGTCTCACAAGGAAGCAACATTCACTATCAAAACCACCCTCCCCCTAAATAGGTTAAAATCCACCTTTTCTCCATCTAAATTTGTAGCATGTAGGTCGTAGAATGATTTAGCTATGTAATTCATGGCTGCTACCAGGTCATCTATGGTCGTTTTCTTACCAAGATGACAATTTAAAACCTTTCATTTGTGATCATGTGATCACATGTCACTCATGTCAATCTGCTGGGTATACTTTACAGAAAGTTGATACCTGCATGTCACTGATACTGCCTTTTGCACATTTTTAATGATGAAGCTATTGTATAATTTCGGTCTGGTACCATTCTTCATTAAAGATGCAAACTCTTGATCAGTGACACGGCAATACATTTCAAAAAGTATTTTCATCAACAATAACTAGCCAACAATAACTAGCCTGACCAGCTAGGGTTCTATATGGCTTAACATTGATTTTATAAGGTTCCAGATATTGACGGGTCGATTCATTACATTAAATATAGGATGAGTGGATCAGGGTATTCAAAAGAGATAAAATGTTAAGGAAATAAATAAATAATCAGAATGAGGAAGTGATGTGTCCTCAGGTGATATACGCAACGAAAAATAGAACAATGGAGGATAACATAGTGTAGAATATTCTACAAATGGTGCGTAAAGGAAAAAAAAGAGATGCACGTACAGGAAGTGGAGCTATGAAATGGCTCTAAAACGAATGTGCTTGAGATGTCCAATCCCGCTTTAGTACGTGCAATGTGTCTCTTGGTTACGGCCGGTAGTCCAGAAATATGAAATAAAACAGAAATAGTCAATATATAGTGTAATAGCTTTGGATCATATAAGCCTGTTAAATAAGTGAATACGGTTGCACTCACATTTATTGGAGCCTTCTATATGGCTCCTTTAAACAGCATGGAGGTGTATAATTCCTACTCTAAGGATGTATTAATGTTGTAGTGTCTTCTCTGTAGTATATATGACAGAAACAGATATTTATTCATTGTTGTCTCTCACTCATCCATTCTACATTCCTACATTCAATTAACTCTAAGCAAAACATACGTGATTTCAGTCATTAATGTGGTTGCAAACGTGGTCTCTGGGGTTCTGGGAGGAAACCCCATATTATGTCACAGTGTTCTAAAATAGTTTGAAAGAACACCAAGGAACTGTGCCTATAGAATCACAGCATCATAACCAGTTCAATAAGCTGTTGGGTTATGGTACTTAGAGTGTCTTTTTATAGAAGCATGGTTAGCTGATAATACTATATAATCTATAAACAGAAGAGGTTAGCTCCAGCCTGGAGTGTCCCTTTAAAACACTTTACTTGCATCAGCTGTCATTACATCATTAGATCAGACTGAGATTATTCCATGTGAGTAGCCTTGTGCTGAATTCCTATTGGCTGTCAAGACACGCATTGCATGGCTCGAACAGTTGGATAGCTGCCATTTGTACAATTGCATTTTCTTCATTAAGTCTCAAAAACTGTCAGTGAATCACATAACATACACAGGTTATATTGTTCTGCAAAGAATATTTACTATAAAATTACAAGTTTTTATTGTTACTCATTTTTATATTCTTTACTGCAGTTTAAGTTACACTTAATCAATCAGGAGAGGCAGGAAAAACCGTACCTCCTCTTTCATATTACTCTGCAAAAAATACAGCACTGACAAACAGACCAGCCAGAGATGATTATATGAGCATGGAGTAAAAAGTAAAATGTGACGGCACATGACAAACGCATGCTGGGCTAAGAGATGAAAAAAACAAACAAGAATAAATATTGATTATTAGAGAGCAAGGTAAATTGTGAGCTCCTGCAAGACAGCGGAGTTTATAAAAAAAAAAAAAAAAAAATGATTTCTAAAACGGAAAACATGCACAGACCACTGTGTATATCAGAATTAAAAAGGTGACAGAACAAAAATGACTCAGACTGCAGTCTGCAGTATGAGACAGAATCATGTGTACTGCACATCAATTTGAAGAAGAGGGATGAATAAAAATAATAATAAGACCAAGGATGAATTTAAAAAATGTGAGCACAATAGTGGATAAATCCACATATATAAGTCCTGCTTTCAGTGGTGGAATTAATGTATAGAGTGCCCTGGTGCAAGAGATTTTTTTCAGTCTCCCTCAAATGCAAGGGTGGCCTAAAGGTAGGTCCCCACCTGTCGTACAACTCCCACAATGCTGTGCCAGCTGGGGATCTATTACTACTACTATTTACCCATCCTGCAGGGTTGTATTTGTGAGCAGTGTTTGTGCGTTTGAATCTACACATGTTTTTGTATGGAGTATGTGTGTGCATATATTGTATGTACTGTTTTTACACTACAGCATACATGATTAGATACTTACAAAGACATACATACACATTAACACTCACATAGATACACACATATAACCACACTGACACATACACACACTGGCACAAACTCAGATAGATACACTGACACATTAACACAGCCTGACAAACAGATACATACTTTGACACACAAATAAAAACACTGACACACAGATACACACACTTACACACACTGACATACACACACACTGCCACAAAGCTACACACGTGCACAAATATATAAACACGTCATTATTTTTATATTTTTAGTGGATAGCCTGGAGTCCTGCTGCAGACCGATAAGAGTAAATGTAATACTTAACCTAACACGCAGAGTGAAAACCACCAGTAGAAATAGAGGCAGAAAGAAAGTCCCTAAGCCGGTCCTTAGAATGGCCAGATAAAAGAGATAACTACAAGATACGTCAGAAACAAGCCAAGGTCAAGGTAAGGCAGAAATGCACGATAACGAGGAGCGAAGCCTAGTCAGAGAAACCAAAAACCAGAATAGTCAAGAGCATTCTGGGTCAAAACCAAAGAACTATCACAAAAGTATACAGGAACATAGTGACACAAGGCACACTAGGAATCACAACAGGGCACTGTTTTTAGGGCAGACTGGGCTTTTATATGATTGGGGGCGTGATTAACCACGTCCCCAAAAGGTACTTGTGCGCTGGGCTCTTTTGTGTAGAGTACTCCTGACGTCATGACGCCGGCACACATGCACCGCGTCATTAAAAGGGGTGGACACTTAGCGACTGTTGTCCCTGAGGCTGAGTGGAGCCTCTCCTGGCATGGAAGCAGCGGTCCAACCGATCCCGGTGTCGGCGGACTGACAAGGTAAGTGGGAGTGAGCTGACAGTGTAGATCTGGAGCTGGGCCTCTGCTTGCTTCTCTACGTTCTCCTCTGCCTCCTCTCCTCCCCCCATGTTCCTTCTCCCCGCCTCCCGCACATCTCTCCCTGTAGCTGAGAGGAAGTGATCTGACCTCATTTCCTCCCAGCACTGGCAATGTAAAAGAATGCCTGGCTGCACTCTTAAATGGCTGCGGCACATGAATGGCTTCTGTTCAGCAATAGCCATTGGATTGGCCATGAATTCAGCAATAGCCATTGGATTGGCCATAAGTGCTGATTGCACCCCCAGCTGCACTGGCGGAGGATCTGCAGTTGCCTGCACTCAACCTCATGAATACCTGCATGGCTTAGAGGCATGGGTAGGCAACATTCGGAGTGCCAAAAGTTACCTATCCCAGAACTAGAATATTTGGCCTGAATGTATAAACAAAAAGAACAAAAAAAGGTGCCACACTATCCTAATAAACACCACTAAACAGCTAAACCATGCCAAACAAAATTGCAGATAGGGTTAAGCACAATTCAGCGTGGCCAATTCCTCCATCTTCCCAGTATTCATCATAACCTCTCATTGTATAGAGCAGCAGGGCCGGATTAACATAGGGGCTGATGGAGCTGCAGCTCCAGGCCAAGGCCCATGGAATAGGCCCATTGATTTAAAAAAAAAAAAAAAAAAATTTTTTTTTTACATTTCTTTTTTTTCACACACTACTCTTAGGGATTCCACCTGCCTTTTATTTTATTGGCACAGCTAGTATTTGAGGCTGCCTGGCTGGTGCCAATATTGCAGTGATACTGGCAATATAAATGTTGGTATTTTTCTCAGTATAAATGGAGATTACTATGCAATACCAGCACTGGCCAGTAGGGGTCGCTGTATGTGGAGACAGGCAGGGATAGGAAGTTCCAGCATATCCCTCCCTGCCTATCTATACTCACTGATCTGCAGGGGTGCAGCTACAGAGAGTCCAGACAGCAACTCCCACCCTGCAGAGACAGCCTAGAGCTCAGGGAAGTAAGGGATGGGGGGGAAAGGCTGCAAGGAGACATACACTGAGACACTAAGGGACACTGGGAGACATTATGGCACAGACACATGGGGACACAGTGTCCCCATGTCTCCCAGCCAGTGTCCCTGGTGTCTCAGTGCCCCCTAGTCTCCCAGTGACCCCTAGTCTCCCAGTGTCTCACTGTCCCCATGTCTCCTAGTGCCTCCATGTCTCTCAGTGCCTCAAGTGTTAAAATGTCCCCAAGCTAGTGTCCCTAGTGTCTGTGGCCCTGGTGTCTCAGTGTCCCCATGTCTCCCAGTGCCCCCATGTCTCAATGTCCCCATATCCCCTAGCCAGTGTCTCTAGTATCTTTGTCCCTGGTGTCTGTGTCCCCATGTCTTCAAGTGTCCCCTATTTTCCCATTATCCCCATGTGCCCCAGCCATAGTCCCCTAGTCTCCCAGTGTCACTGGTGTCTCCATGTCCCTAGGTCTCCCCGTGTCCCCAGGTCTCCCTGTCTTCCTAGTGTCCTAGTGACATGGTGACCCTGGGATACATGGGGACACAGGGAGACATGGGGCATTGAGACACTGATACATAGGATCACTGGGAGACCTGGGGACACGACACTAGGGGCACTGGGAGACATGGGGCACTGAGACACTGATACATAGGAACACTGAGACCTGGAGTAATCGACACATGGGGCACTGAGTCATGAGGGCACTGGGAGACATGGGGGCACTGGGAGGAATCCATCTATACTGCAGATTTAAACTAAGTAGTTTTTTGGTGATTTTATGGCATTTTCTCTTATGTCACTCCTTGTGATTTACATCATGTGATGTCACCCACACATATTTAATTATGCAAATTAGTAAGGCCGGTATGTTTTTCCAAGAAAGGTGGCAACCCTAACTACTTTT